GCATTTCCCCAGTCGGATCCTGTGGGGACTGCACAGAACAATTCAGAGGATAAAAACAGCCGTGAGAAACGGCAATTGATTAAAGAATTATCAAATATGTGTCAAGTCCACGCCCGTGACAATCCAGAAGTCTGCCCTAACTTTAGGCTAAGACAGAGAAAAGGCCAAAATGTGCCGAGTGCTCCCCAGGAAATCACTGGCATGGGAAGGTCAGATCCCTTTGCCAGCCCTCCCTCTCAGATTAGAACTTTCTGGTGATTGCTTTTTGGAAAAAAGGAAATATTTTGAGGCCACTATTGACATATTGATTCATGGGAGTAGCAGCATCCTCCTGGCCCATCCAGGGGAACGAGCAAGGAGAGGAGAATTCATTTCCTTGCCAGAGATATCAATACCCATCTTGGCTTCTGAAGGAATCTCACACCCAAGGCTATTGATTTCCTGCGCTTGAAATGAGCTGGTTCAGGCAATTCCAGAGCTGGGGGGACAGACGGGGCTCCAGTGCTCTGGGAGTGACTGGGAATGACTGGGAATGCACTGGGAATGACTGGGAGTGACTGGGAATGACTAGGGATGACTGGGGATGACTGGGGATGACTGGGAATGACTGGGAATGACTGGGAATGACTGGGAATGCACTGGGAGTGCTCTGGGAATGCACTGGGAATGACTGGGAGTGACTGGGAATGACTGGGGATGACTGGGAATGACTGGGAATGACTGGGAATGACTAGGGATGACTGGGGATGACTGGGGATGACTGTGGATGCACTGGGAGTGCACTGGTAATGACTGGGAATGACGGAATGCACTGGGAATGCTCTGGGAATGCACTGGGAATGACTGGGAGTGCACTGGGAACACACTGGAAATGCTCTGGGAATGCTCTGGGAATGCAGCAGGTCTGGGGCACCAGAACCCCCTGGGGGTGCCAGGGCTGGGCTGGAACCCGGTGTGCTCCACAGCCGCCTGCCCCGCAGGGCAGCACCCTCCAGGCCCCTCCTTCTGCAGCCCAGGCACCCGAAGATGGCAATTCCCTTTTTGGGGACTCATTCCACGGGAGTCTGCAGCACTCAAAGCACAGGCCTTGCCCTCAGACCACCAGCCCCGCTCTGCTCTCCAGCTGATGAGTCAGTGGCTTCATTAAAGCACAGCTCGTTTGATGGGACACTTCCTGACGGATCCGTGTCCAGAGCCTGCCTTTCCCAGGGCTGCTTCTAACATCTGCCATTAACAGCCAGCCCCTGCCAGGCCCTGGGAGCTGCCACTCCCCAGTGCAGGGCACGGGGACAGAGCCATCCCACCGGGACAATCAGCCAATCCTGACCAAAATTCCCTGAGCCTGTTCTGCTGAGCAAAGCAAAGGCTCCCTCCACACTCCAAGCGTGCACAGGGGGCTGGGAGTGCTGCTTGTTTTGGCAGAGGAGATGAGAAAAACCGCAGAGCATTCGAGTTCAGAAGGCTCATTATGACTAATCTGCCTTCCTGAGCTGCAGGTCTTTTATTCCAGAGTCAGATGTAGGCCTGCCCTGGGAGGGAACATCTGCAAGGGATGCTAATTTAGAGATTTGTGAGAAAGGTGGCACAAGCTGCAGCCAGATGAGTCTGCAGCAGCTCTGGGAGGGAGAGGTGGGGTCTGCACCAGGGTCCAGCCCTGCTGCTGGAGAGGCAGGCTGGGCTCTCACTGGGGAGCTGCGACTTGCATTTTCACCCCTGAGCAGGGTTTAGCATTTCACATGTAACTTTTGGGCTGGGCTGTGGGTGCTGCAGAGGAAGGCTGAGCAGCCTGGGCTGGTTCTTGCATTTTCCTCACTCTCCTCAGCTGCACAGAGCTGACACCTGGTTTTTAGGGGTGAAGAACTGGTGGTTTGGAGCATCTCCCATGAGTTACCAAGCACCCTGCAGTGAAGCAGACCAAGTTCTGCGCTGTTCTGGGCTTGTCTTTGTGATTTTGTGGGGTTTTTTTCACTTTATATGATCCTGAGCAGCGTTTAGGAGTGTGAGTGATGCTCTTGTACCAGTTAATCAAAGGGCTTGAGTGGGTCAAGTGGCTCCTTTAGGAGTGTGAGTGATGCTCTTGTACCAGTTAATCAAAGGGCTTGAGTGGGTCTGGTTTCTGCAGGAGGAGGAACTGAGTGCAAACTGGAAAATCTTCCTCATTTTTGTATCTGTTGAATGTTGGTACCAGAAAGAGACAGGCCTGACACAGAAAGCAACAAAGTTGTGATAAACTTGCAGGGAAGTTCATTCTACAGCTCAGGACTGGCCCTTAAAAACCTCTGCCTTACCCCAGAGGTGCCAGAAATGTTTCCTCTTCAGCATTTGTGGCCAACTGCTCCTCTCATCAGAGAAATCAAATCACCACTCAAGACCTCAGCGCTCTCCCCAAAGCTTTCCACACCAGCAGCCTGTGGCAGAGCAGCAAAAGAATGAATTTTCTCCTTGGCAGGGGCTGCTATCCCACTGGCATTCCCCTTTTTCTGTGCAGGAGACCCTGATCCCCTTCCAGTCCCTGTGCTGCTCTGAGTCCTCTGTTACAGGAGCAAAAAATGAACACATGGTCAGGAAATACAGAACGTTCAGGATGTTTATCAATATTTGCCCCAGGAACAGCACTCCACAAACCAGAAAAGCCCCGAAAAGAAAAGATTTTGCTCCTTATGAGAAGGTTGCACTCGTGGGTTTGAAGTTTCATTTTGTTTTGGCTTTGCCTTTCTTGTTATTGAGCTTTATTTTCTCCCGTGATTCATCTGACTCTAGGGCATTTATTGAAATCCTTGATACGGAATGCAAGGGAAATGAATCTCACTTTAAACTTCCTAAAGACATCTCCATCACCTGATTAAAGTCTCCTGCAGTTTTTTGCAGCTCTTCCCATGGCAGACCCAGAGACAAGGTGCATTTCTGGCAGAGGCAGATGTGATTTGTAGCACATCTCCCATCAGACAAGCCGTTATTTTAATCCATCGTTTTCCAGGGGAAAGAATAAATTCTTCTTTTCTTTAGTAGGGCTGAAAAAAAGCCCCACACAGAGATGAGTTTTACAAGCAGTGAAACGCTGTAAATCAACAGGCTGAGGCAGATGGCAGAGAGTCAGTGAGACTCAGAGCTCGTCCATTAAACACCTCACCCAGTTCTCAGTTATTAAATTGCTCTTCTCCTGACTCACATTGGAGTTGATTTTTCTTATGGATGGCTGGATGGAAAATATTCTTGTGATCCAACTGGAAGCCCAAGGAGTCAAGGAGAGGACAGGTTCTTCTTGGCCTCAGAGAAAGAGTAAACATCTCCAAGAAGTCTTGGCCATCCATTAAATAAATATCTTTATTTTGAGGCAAGCAAAGCGTGTGAGAGCTTTTGCTGTCCTGCTTTGCAGAAGAAATAATTGTTCTGTGCTGAGCTCATTTGGCTCCTTTGGCATTGCAACACTCACATAAATCGGAGGAAAAGGAAATTATTGCAGTAGCACTTGGAAAGTTCAGGAGAATTCAGTCTGACTTTCGCTCTGAAGATGACTCAGAAAGTCAGGAGTGTACATGTAGCAGCTCAGGAATGCAACTGCCCAGGAGATTTAGGGTTCCACCATCCAGAGAGGTTGAAAGCAGCATTTGAAATCCACTCTTTTGGGGAAAAAAAACAACCCAGATATTGAATTTCTTTAAACCTCACCACAGAGATGGGTTTCACTCTGTTCTCTCCTTGTCTAGGGCTGTTTGATAATATGAAAAATACATTCAGAAAAGGTTTAGAGCTACTACTGGGGAAATAAAGAGGAGCTTTCTCAGGAAACACCCTTCAGATGAGGGACTGCCAATGCTCCGGAGGTGAGCTGGCGTGAGCGATATTAAACTATAAGATATTAAATATTGCAACTGCAGCCACACTTTGGGGAAATGGTATTTGGATTGCAAAGAGATCTCTTTAGCAGCACAGGGGGTGTTTAAACAAGGAGCACAGCTGAGAATTCAGCCGGGGTTTTTAGCAAATGCCCGGGACGTGCTGGGACTGGGAAGGATGCGGTGCCCTGTTCCCTGACACCGGAGCTCTACGAGCTGTGAACAGCGGGGATAACAGCTCCTTCTCACACAGAAATCCCTGCTCTCCGTGCTGGGGGGACACTCTGAGCTTTCCCTGTGTGCTGGGGGAGACACTCCGAGCTGTCCCTGTGTGCTGGGGACACTCCGAGCTTTCCCTGCTGTCCCCACAGCCGGGCACACGCGGGGACAGCCCTGACCTTGGGGCTCGGAGGGTGCCAGCGCTCCAGGAGCTCGCAGAGCATCCCCGGCCGAGCATCCCTGAGCGAGCATCCCTGAATCAGCTCATTCCTGACCGAACATCCCTGGCGGAGCATCCCTGACCGAACATCCCTGGCGGAGCATCCCTGAGCGAGCATCCCCGGCCGAGAATCCCTCTCAGAGCACCCCTGGCAGAGAATCCCTGAACGAGCATCCCTGAGCCAACATTCCTGACCGAACATCCCTGGAGAAGCATCCCTGACCGAGCATCCCTGGCAGAGCATCCCTGAATCAGTTCATTCCTGACCGAATATCCCTGAGTGAGCATCCCCGGCCGAGAATCCCTGACCTAACATCCTTAAGCCAACATCCCTGGCAGAGCATCCCTGGCAGAGCATCCCTGGCAGAGCATCCCTGACCGAGCACCCCCGGCGCTCACCCGGGAGCTCTGGCGGGGCAAAGCAGCCTTCAGGGAAGGGCCGCTCCCCCGCGAGGGGTTCCTGGGGGTGGGAACCCATCTCTCTCCTCTCCCCGGGGCTGCGGTGGGGGCGGCTGAGCCCCCCCGGCCCCGGCCCCGCGCTCCGCCCGGCGCTGTCCCGGTGCCGGGGCCGCATCCCCGGGGCTGGAGCCGCCCATCCCCGCCGGGGTGAGTCCGTGGGATTCGGGGGAGGAAACTTCGCCCCCTCCCCTCCCCTTCCCTCCCCTCCCCGCAGCAGCGGCAGCGGCAGCGGCGGGCGAGGCAGAGGGGGAAGCGCTGCGGGAATTCGCACCCCGCGGCCGGAGAAGGGAGCTGGAGTGGAAACAGGTTGTTGGGATCTGTCCGTGGGAGGAAGGGGCGGCTCTGCTCAGCCGCCAGCCGAGCCTGGGCTCTGGGAAATGGAGCCGGAGCTGCTGCCTCGCCAGCCGGCCGGGTGCTGAAGGGGATGGACAGCGAATTGCTGCGGGGGAGCCTGGCCCCGGCGAGCTGAGCCCTTCCCGGGGAGCTGAGCCCTTCCCGGGGAGCTGAGCCCTTCCCGGGGAGCTGAGCCCTTCCCGGGGAGCTGAGCCCTTCCCCAGCTCCCCAAGTTCCAGCAGCGCTCAGCCCGGGCTTACCCACGGCGAGTTGCACCTGCCCGCTCCGGGCTGGCAGGGGTCAGGCAGGTGATCGCCTTGCTTTTTGCTCCGCTGCTGAATACCGAGAAGGGTGCCTGGAAGCCTGGGAGAGCTTGGGAAAAGCCACGGTGGAGAGTTGTGGTGTTGTGGATTTATTTGGCACAAAGTGCTCGCGCCTCTGCTCGAGGGATTCGTATGGCGTGAAGGTAAGAGATTCGTGTTGTGCTTTTCTCCCAGAAATAGAAATGTTGTGAATATCCTGGTGAGGGAACACAGGCAGCACTGGCTGCTGTGATCACCACTGCCTAGAGATGTAAATAAAGACAGGAGAATAAGGGAAATATTTGTCATTACACCGAAAGGATCCATTAAGCTGTTCCCTTCCGCCAGACAAGAGGCGAGAGCGGGTTTTCAAACTGGAATTCAGGCTGTCTCATTTCTCCACCTAAACCACTCACTGCGAAGCAACAAACAATTGTTATTGCGTGCTAAAGAGGCATTTGGAGCTGCTGCGAAGCTCGGCTGGTTTTTAGAAGTTTGATGTTTAACGCTGCTCTCACGCAGACACAATGCAGAGAGAGTGACAGGGAGAAGTGGAGGAGGAGGATGTGTGCAGAGGATAGAATGTGGGTACATTCCAGCTCCCCAAGGAACAAGGTTGTTCAGTCAAATTATTTGAGGGAAAACACTCTTTTTTCCTCTTACCACACTCAGTCTTTTACATCAAGGCAAGACTGGCATCCTTTCAGACTTCGTGCTCAGCGCCACTCCTGATGTAGAACAATCTTCCCCAGTGGAGAACAGGGGATCTGTCACCTTTCCCGAAGAACCCCAGGAAGGAAACCTCTCAGAAATTCTTCTCTGAACGCTGCAAGCAGATTTTGTGTTTACAACCACCATAATTTCTTTTTTTTCCCATTCCCCCCAGCTCTAAGTTCCATCCAGCTTTTTGAAACCAGTGCAAAGTGTGCCTTTAGGGCAGGGAACCAAACCCCAGGACGCTGCTGGGTCCTGCTCAGCGCTGGAGTATTTTTGTTGTTGTCTGTAGGTTGTTTCTACCCCAGATCACACATCCCCACTCGGTAATTCTCAAGTCTCTCCCTCTCATCCCGACTTTCCCACATGCCAGGCGTGGAACTGCAGAGCTCCCAGCATGTGTGTGGAGCATGAATCACTTGGAGTGGAGCTCCAAGTCGAAAAGAAAAGCAGCCTGGGTTGTTTTATAAATACCCAGGGTTATAACAGAGCTGGTCAGATAGGTTACACATGCAAAACAGCGTGGGCTGGGTTTCCTGCGTGCTCAGGGTTTTTGGCATGATTGTTCTTTACATGCACCGTGGTATTAAGAACTCACACCCCTGGTTTTTATCTCTCTTGAAGTAATTGCTTGTAGTAATCTAGAAAAAAACTCTTGGCAATATTTCTGACTCCATCAAGTAAAGACTGCTGTAGTTTTTGTTATTCCCCCCCCCACCAAACTTCTTTTCCATGCTGCAGAAATTCTGTTTCGCTCAAGGCTTCCTTCCTTACTTCTGAACAGAGTTTTGTAAAAGAGTTTTCTACTGATTGATGAACCCCTGTGTAAAATCTGCTGTGCTTTCTACATTTCCACCTGACTTCCATGGGCACACACACCCTGTGTGGGGAAAAGAGCTTCCCTGGCACACTGGAGGAGAAAACGTGCAAGCTTTGGGCTTAGAGAGAAGCCTGTGACCCCACAAAGCAGGGGAGCAGTCAGTGGGGTGTCTTTAAGAGCTCCTTCCCTGTGACATCCTGCTCCTGTGCCACTGCCACCCTGCAGGAAAGGGTTTGGATGGGATGAGTGGCCACACAGTGCCTCCCGTTCCCGTCCTGATGCTGCCCCACACCCCAAATCACCCCGAGCTGAGGGGGATCCCCCCCTGAGCCTGCCTGGCCGTGGGGATTGAGTGATTTGTCCCCACAGAGGTGTCAGGGTGACCCCTCTGTGCCCCCGTGCCAGGCAGCAGGACACAGGGTGCCCTTTGTGTGCCCAGCCCTGCTCAGGAGCCACACAGGGACACAGCTCTGCCCCATGGCACTGCCTGGATAGGCCTGGAAGTGTCCCCTCTGCCCTGCCCTGGCTGCTCCAGGCTGCTCCAGGCTGTTCCTGGATGCTCCAGGCTGCTCCAGGCTGCTCCTGGATGCTGCCCCAGGTTGCTCCAGGTTGCTCAAGGCTGTTCCTGGCTGCTCCAGGCTGCTCCTGGATGCTCCTGGCTGTTCCAGGTTGCTCCAGGCTGCTCCTGGCTGTGGCTCCAGGCTGCTCCAGGTTGCTCCTGGATGCTCCTGGCTGCTCCTGGATGCTCCAGGCTGTTCCAGGTTGCTCCAGGCTGTTCCAGGTTGCTCCAGGCTGTGGCTCCAGGCTGCTCCAGGCTGCTCCAGGCTGCTCCTGGATGCTCCAGGCTGCTCCAGGCTGCCCCAGGCTGCTCCAGGCTGCCCCAGGCTGCCCCAGGCTGCTCCAGGCTGCTCCAGGCTGCAGGCTCCAGGCAGGGTTCACAGCAGGGACACACCTGCTGGGAGATGCAGCTGGAGCAGCAGAAAAAGCTCACTGTGCAGCTCGGAGCAGCTCAGAGCAGGCAGGAGCCGTGACAGAGCTGCTCCCCCTCTGTGGCACAGGCCTGGCACAAAAAGGGCCATTCCCTGGGGGTTCTTCTCCTCAAACCCACCCTTTGCTCTAATTTAGCAAATCTCCACCCTCCCATCCTCTGGGTACTTCAGCTCTGGATTTGCAAGTGAAGCTGATGGAGCCAGGAATATCCTGAGCTGGAGGGACCCACAAGAATCATTCTGTGACAATCACCAGACACAAATTCCTAAAACAGCAGCCAAAAAAACCCACCAAACCCTTTGAAAAACATTCATCTTCATGGTTTTGTGGCTCTCCAGTTACAAACAGGATGGATTTGGCTCACGCCCCTCACAATCCTTTCAGGATAACTCGTTTTCAATTTCACCCTCTGTGCACAAATTCCTTGTGAGGAGGGAAAATCTGGGACTCAGATTTGGATTTCCCACGTGCCCGGAGCTGACTTTCCACGGCAGGAGGTGCAGGACAGTGAACACGTCCACCCTGAGCTGGAGAGCCCTGGCACAGGGCTCTGGATGCAGAACGTTCCCAGGTGCTGTGGACCCTGGGGAATTGCAGTTCCGAGGGAGAGAAGTCCACAGATTGTTAATGAATGCACAGAAACCAGGCTGGCACAGCAAACAGTTGGGTGGTGGGGGAGTGTTTGCAGAAACATCATAAACATTTCTCCATCCTCACACTCCTGCCCAGGCGAAGGCAGGATGGGATAAAGAGATCCCAGACTGGTGGAACTTTGGCCTGCCAGGGTTATTTTTCTAAGGCTACAAGTGAAAATACAGTGGGCTGAAGATTAAAATGCATTAAGGCTTGGAATGTAGATTTGGAAAGCTTTGTCTGGGATCAAACTTTGCTGACTTTTACCCCTAAAAACTTGGAGCAGCTCCTGAGGAGCAGGGACACTGAGCAGTGAGTGCCAGCGAGATCCTCTGGGGAAGGGGGAGGCAATTGTTTAAGTCCTGTCAGATGCATCATCGCCTGTGCTGTTACAAAACCAGCCCAGATTCAATCCGAAGTGATTGCTAATAACTATTAACTCCTCTCCCAATTGTTCTGCTTCAATCATGTTTTCTCTCGCTGTCCTTCACCTGGGTATTTTTAGCATTGTGATTTTTTTTTCTTTTTTTTTTTTTTTTTGGAGATGTGACTGTGTGTTCAGTTGCTGCTTCTCTGTACATCCCTCCCAATTATCCCGGTGGGTATTTTTCTCTCAACCCCCCAGCATGGGTTTATTTCTGGTTTACTCTTCCCTGTTGCTTTCCATGTGGTTATGTGGGAGGCTGCGCTTTCTTTATCAAAGCAGAGAGCCATGATTAGTCCATTCAGAAAATGTAAATGCAGCTTTATGTGTTCTGGAGCGCTGGGGAGAGGGGGAGACTGCAAGGAGCAATAAAAGCTGAGATAACAGAGCAGCACCAGCCCTGCAGGGCTGCCCGGCTCGGGCACGGCCACACTTCACACCTGAGAGAGGCATAAATAAACCCAGGAGCGCCTGGGGACAGGTAATCACCGAGTCACCGAGAGAGGAACCTCTGCAGCCTCTGCTGGGCATCCTCCCGCGTTTGGAGCTCCTTTCCTTCACCCCAAATTTCTCTGTAGCCTCGGCTGTGCCCGTGTGAGGTGTGCCAGGGTCTGCCAGCACTCAGGGGCTGATCAATGCACACAAAAATACAAATACTGGGTCCTTCTCACTGATAAACACACACAGAAATACAAATACTGGGTCCTGCTCTCTGATAAATACACACAGAAATACAAATACTGATTCCTGCTCTTTGATAAATACAAAATAAAAATACTGGATCCTGCTTGCTGATACACACAGAAATACAAATACTAGATCCTGCTTGTTGATAAATGCTCACAAAAGTACTAATACTGGATCCTGCTTGTTGGTAAATGCACACAGAAATACAAATACTGGGTCCTTCTCACTGATAAATGCACACAAAAATACAAATACTGGATGCTGCTCATTGATAAATGCACACAAAAATACAAATACTGGGTCCTTCTCACTGATAAATGCACACAAAAATACAAATACTGGGTCCTTCTCACTGATAAATGCACACAAAAATACAAATACTGGACCCTGCTCTCTGATAAATGCACACAAAAATACAAATACTGGATCCTGCTCACTGATAAATGCACACAAAAATACAAATACTGGGTCCTTCTCACTGATAAATGCACACAGAAATACAAATACTGGGTCCTGCTTGTTGGTAAATGCACACAAAAATACAAATACTGGACCCTGCTCACTGATAAATGCACACAAAAATACAAATTCTGGGTCCTGCCCGCTGCCCCAGGCTGCCAACTGCCGGCACTGGGGATGGATCAGCAAAATCAGCGCCATTGAGAGTGTGCTCTGTGCAATCTGCAGCTCCGGGGAGAGAAATGAGCCCTCCACCAGCAGCTCAGGTTCTTCACTCAGCTCCCCCGAAAGCTGCAGCTGACACACTCCAGCAGAGAGCTCTGAGCTATCACCTGAAATGTGGCACCTCGAGATGACTTGTCTGAACTCCAGCCTGTTTTGGGCAGTCTGGAGCTCCAGCAAATTAAGATTCCCTGCAACAAGCACTCTCTGACCCC